TTTCATACACCTCGATTCGCAGAAAACTTCCGCCTTTTCATCTTCCTATGATGGTTTGAGCTCAAATTCATCAATTTCTAAAGGAATTGTACCATCCTGTTCTTGCGTAGTTAAGCCATAGTCTTTTAAAGTCTGACTAACAGAGAATGGTTTGGTGACGTCTGTTTTACACTTTATTGATTGAGTAAAGTACAAATAAGTGGTTGCAGTGTCAAAGTTCTACCAGGATTTGCTGGTACTTTTCTCGATTGTAGTCTAGTTGCAGTCGACGTGGCATATGTGAAATTAGAAAGGTATAAAAGCAATCAAGTTTGATTCATTGGTTGTCTGATTCCAGCTCATAGGTCAGCGCGCATCTTGTTTGATTTGTAGTAAGTCCGTTCCCTATGGAAAACAACGGCCAAAGGTTCAGACCTTGAAGTCAATGTGCTTCAAACGATCGATGTTGTACACAGAAAGGGATTGCCCTTTAAGACACACTTTGTTAAGAGCATTTGTCAAAAGTTTCACCCCATATAACTATCGTATATCTCCTCAATTCAGAGATTTACGTACTTATAATGTTGTTATAAATGATGGAAGGATCATGATTATCAATGGCGTTGGTTTTCCTTCATCACTCTCTGGTTATTAAAACAGATGGCAATTTATCACCAGAAAGTGTTTTATTAGAAATATGGCCTCTAGGGTTGCGTGGTATGTTATGTTAATACCCTGCTGTGATGACTGATACCGACTACGATAGGTTCATTTCCAACCCATATATTGTATTTGAAGAACTTTTTCTGGCGAACTACTTTAGTGGAGTGTCTGCAAGTTACTTCTATTTCTGCACTTCTAAATAGTTTGAATAAGATTCCAGCTCCTTCCAGATCAAAAACAACCATTAAGTGTTGGAAGTTCGCGATTACCTCACTTATATCTCTACTTGATATTTAGGTAACCCATTTATGTTCGCTCTGAGGTGAAAAATAGGAGGAATAATATCCCCAAGCGCCTAGATCAAATGACAACTCACTGCAGATCAAAAATACCCTTGGAGTGGTGTGAGCTTACCAAAAAACCCTAGTAGTCCCTACATATGCTTCTTTGTTCTCCAACTCGCTGAAAAACGGTTTTGATGGACGTTTATTCCTGCTATTGGCACTCGAAACATCTCAAAACTCCCGGATATAATTCCAGCAGATCAAAGACAGCTATTTTAGATCAGTAGATGGTTCTTCATTCGAAGAACCGGCTTTGACATTGACATTGCCTCGCCAAAAGCTTGGGTTCATTTCCACCCCTTACCAGATACAAACATCAATGAGGTGGTGGAAGACCACAATTGCCTCAAACAAGGAAACCTTTTTGCAGATTCCTCTCTGTGATCGTAAACTCAAAGAGCGGTTTTGATGGATGCTTATTCCTACAGCTCAGCAGAACTTTGTCGCCACTGGGGTTTGTTATCTTATCTTCCTTTGGTAGATGAGTTGGTGGGAATGACAGGAGTGCGAAGAGATGCAGATTATAGAAGCCGTGAAACATGGATCCATCTTCTGCCTACCATAATGGACTTGGAAACTGATAGACACTTGCTTGTTGTCATCTATCATTTGGTTAGAGTGGCAAGGCGTATCTTATCAATATTCATTTTTCTTGGAAAAAGGATAGTGTTTTAAAAAGTTAGTTTTTTGTTCAATGTCAAGTCTTCTGTTACGTATGTTACCAGATTTGAGAATAGAATGCGGATATGTAGCTGTACATGATATATAATACGTAATTATATATTTTGTTCATAATGCTAGGAGGTGATAGGATGAGACAATCAAAGCCAATGAGACCGGTATTGCCAAAGCAAGCTCTTTTAGTAAGCAATCGATAAACCAATAGTCACTGTACTGCTTTATCTACAACAATAAACAGGATGTTTTGCCCAGTTTTCATTACCTTAGAAAACCATTAGGCAAATGATTATTCGTCTTACCGCTGTTATCTTCTCTTCATGTAGAACGTTTAAAACGTTTATGGAGGTCAAGAGGGTCTGTAACCATTACTTGTCCAAAAAACATCGACGAAAGCTTACTGGGCTAGCCGGGATGCGAAAAGCGTTTTGAGTAAAGTGCGTCGAGTCATTATTCCCACGTGCCTGATAGAGCATGACTGCAGATGGCTTGTCAAACCTCATAACAAGCGTAGTAGTAAAAGTATAAGTTTTTTTTTCACTGAGTAGTTGTCTGTACCCTACTACTGTATTGTACCGTATACATGTAGTATCCTTGACTCTGTAAAAGCAATTAGCCTTCGTGCATGCTTTAGCAAATTTAAAGGCATCCAGTTCTTAGAGCTTGGAAATCCGTTTTTTTTCAAAGCCAATATCCTAGTCATTTATCTACATGCTGAGTTGAAACCACACTATCCCAATGTATATGGACCCTCGTGGAGCTAAAATTCCCAAAATTCTGACGGAAAATTGTTACTGGAAGGGCCATGGGCTGATTTTTAGGGTACAACCCAGAAAATAAAGGACTCATCTTGGGGCTTGTCTCTGCAGTTTTAAATGCCCAAAGTATAAAATGCTGGTTTAAATGTGCTAATGTGAAGCAGTATGTGTCGATATCACAAAGATTGCTTTATTCAGAATATTTCCAGTTTTGCTGCTCTGAAATCACATTGCAAATTTGGATCCCTTGAAGACTTTTTATGTGTTTTTGTTTCTCGTAGGCCATATATTCCTTACAGGTATGCTTTAAAAATTAAAGGTATTCAAAGCTGGGCTAAGAGTTGCCAACTCGTGACAAGAATGACTCAATCTAACCTTTGAAGACCATTTCAAGGTACATTACCGGAAAAGGTACTTATGTGTCATGAATTCAATGGGATTCTATGATTTGAGGAATTAAACCATAGTTATTACTGTCCTGAGATACGTATTACTTTCTGCCATATGTTTCTGTTCCATACTAAATCCTTTTTGCAGCATATGTGTGATACTAAAGATAGCAAAAACGGTTTAATATTGCCCTGATTGTAGTAATAGAGCATAATTATGTGCCTAATTATTCAACTGCTAGGAAAATTTGTCTCCATGGGTACTGCAGTCGCGCTGGTGCTATGCGTTGTATTTTCTCTAAATCATCTTATACACTTCCGGATATAATAAGCGGATTCATTCTTAAGCTAACCCACATCTCGCACACGCAGTCGTCCCTCAGGAAGACACCATAGTTCATTTTAGAACTTTTATTCAGCCTATCACACGACCAGTTTCGCCTGTGTGGCTTCTACTAATACACTTCCGAGTTCATTCAGGAATATATTGCTAAGAAAGGATTTTCCCGTAAGCTTTCGCAACTGTCAATGGGCGTGCGTATAGCAAGTCATCGTTCCCGAACAGACTACCTGAATGGTACGTAACTATGGTATTTTGAATCATAACGCCAGGCCTATAAAGTACTAGTACTAGTAGTATACGTTGAGTCATCTATTGTCTTGTGGTACATAGGTTAGTTTTTGTTATACCCACGTATCTTTCTGCATGTCTACGTGTAGTTAAAGACCTTACAAAAGTCGCTGTACTTTTGTTGTCTCTCTCTCCCTCTCTCTCCCTCTCTCTCTCTCTCCCTCTCTCTAATATATATATAAGGTTCTAAACTACCAGGACCTCCCCTATTTCGCATTTGCGTCACGACCCATGCATCCGTTGACTTTCCATCCGTAGCAGGTTCTGATCGAACCTCTTCCACATCATTTGCAGATCAACCATCATGCTACAATTTATGCCAGCAACAGTACTCAGTCCACAGGGTTGGCTTTCTATTTTGAGCACAACTTCCTGTACAGCCTTATCATCTTCGCGCTGTTGAATAGCCCTCAGCGTTGGTCATTTGCCATAAAGATCCGCAGAGCATGCGGACTTTATTTCTTTCCACCCCTAATGTTCAAGTTTGTGACCTGGACTATGGATCGTGTATGGACTGCTGATAGAGGATTGGAAATGCTGAGGAACAGTACAGAAAATACCTTACGCTACAGGGTAGGAGAAATTCCAATCCATGGATATACTAGGAGGCTTTTTATAATCCTATTGTTATTGAGTGCTTCCATGGCCCTGCACCTTATCATGAGGATGGTGTTAGGTACAGGCACAAGTTTACATTCAATCCAATCGTGTGTTGTAGCATATCCATGCCAGCAACAGCACTCAGTCCACAGGGCTGGGTTTCTATTTTGAGCTATGGAGATTGGTTTTTCTGGAGCCCACGATAAAGTTTATGACTAATTCCGTGCCAATCATCGCCCACTGGTAGGATTACCTCACGAACCGCAGATCAAACCATAAGTCTGGCTTCCGTTACCCTGTAAAGGTTCATATTTAGCTCTCATGCAAGTACACCTGTACGGGTACTTTCGAAAATACGAATTATGATATTCAATAAACCTAACCACATCTACATCTTAAACAAAAACCTTGTATCTGGGCATTCAGCTTTAATTATTTGGCTACAATTGATATAAGGGCTTAAATGAGGTACCGCAATATGCATTAAACAAATAGAGTTGTAGCGAATTTTAAGATGGTTTGCCTATTTGCTCAATGGCAGAAGAAAGAATGGCTCGACTGATTTTGTATACTGATAATGCAATGTCAGAACTAATGAATCTGCGGAAAATCATATCTCAACGCGGTTTCATCTTTCATGTAGCTGTTAACTTCCAGCAACCGTCACCACTTCAGCTTCCGTACCGAAGCAGGCCGTTATTCAGTCCCCAGCGCCATGTAAAGGATGGAAACTGCCAAGAACTACTCGCTGTTGTATACTTCATTTTCTCAGCTCGCTTTTGTTCGGCAAGATAAGGCTCCAGTTTGAAACGCATTACAGGATAACCGTCTGCAAAATGTCATTTGGAAATGGCACTAAAGTTGTGCATGCTGCAGAGCAGATGTGAAGGGATTCGAAAGAAGCTTTCCTAATGCCTTTATCTTTCTTCCGCAGATCATGGTGGAGTCCTTGGCGTCTCGCTGTCTGTAGGAGCCAAGTATCAAGAATAGCTGAAGACATCCCCTCCAGCGAAGATTGTAATACAGACTAAAATCACTAAAATCATAACTCTTTAACTTAAAAAAAGGTCAGGCATTCAATATATCAATATGCAGGCGGAGAATGATTCTTATAATGGGACTATGTTTGACTTTGGCAATCCTGTCTTGAAGCAAACTGTGCCGATCATAGCTGTGTTTGTGATTTCTTACTTCGTCGTGTTTGCCATGTGTGTGGTCGGAAACGTGCTGGTCTGCTTCGTGGTCCTGAAGATCCCCCGCATGCGGAACGTCACAAACTTCTTCATCCTCAACCTGTCTGTCAGCGACCTGTTGGTGGCCGTCTTCTGCATGCCCTTCACCCTCGTGGACAACATCATTAGAGGTGAGTCCTGCAATTTGGTTTGCACTATGATGGACGTCTGATTAATGTAATTGATACATGACCATATTGTAAGTCATATATAGTTATCGATAGTAGTTTGTAGTAGTAATGTTAGTATTATTGTTGTTTTACTGCCATACATTGTACCATGTACGATTGTTCAGCAATAAAGTTCATTCATTCTAAGTAACATGATTTCTTCCTTACTTACCCATTTCTCGTCTCAGAGCATTTTTTCCTGCGGAGAAACTCCTACCTTGACTGACTCCAGTCTTGTCTTAGCAGTCTTCCATATTTAGTTACCATTCCATACTTTTTAATGGCGACTAAAGGCATTTGTAGACATTTTAAGAGAGTTACAAACTATTAGTACAACTGTAGAACAGATGTGATACAGTTGTGATTGTTGTCACAGGATGGCCGTTCGGGAACGTGATGTGTAAGCTGACTCCTGCAGTTCAAGTTGTCTCGGTGACTGCCTCTGTCTTCACACTCGTCGCCATTGCGTTGGACAGGTGAGGACTTTAGTGTGTGGAGAAAGAAGTGAAAAAGGAACATAATGTGCTTCGAATATTGTTGATATTCCTTGACCTGATAGATTGTATGCGAAAGGCATAGCTTTAGCAAAATTATGTCCAATAGATTAAGACCATATGTAGATACATATATGATATTACGATATAATATATTACATATAAGTTAATGACACCATCGCACGCAAACAATTTTCCAGCATTTTGATTACTTTCATCTTTACGTTGATTCCTAAACCTCGGCACACCACCTATTCTTCACTCTTTAAAGGGTGTGCATTAATGATATACATATACAGTAATTCCCTGTGGACATTCATAGTCCTCCCGCTCAGTCAATTAGCGTACTTTCCAGCTTGCCATTACGCTGAAAGTACCACTGTCACTTCATTGAGCCATTACCGACGATGTTAATTCTTTTTCACTCCAATTTCCTCGGATATTTGGCATCCATTTTGGCCATTACGTGGGAAAGTCTCAGATGGTGCTGCATTTATTTACTCCTGAAGTGTTTAGTTGTAAATGGCATCACTTGGAAACGTTTAAGAGAGGCTAGAGCTTCCTACGAAATTATAACGTCGTAGTTTTTAATTGGGGGACTACATGGTGGTATACGCATAGTGAGAGATTCAAGCCACTCTGAGTGATCGAGTCTTGTTGTCCTTTTGCATTAGTTCTTTTGAATGGAACGTAACGGAATGTCAGCGATTCCGTATTTAAGGAAGCTTTAGGCATCAAACCTATGCTCGTAAAACACACTTTTGAAAGAAGCAGGCGTGGTGACTCCACAATAGATTTACAGCTATCACAAGCTCTCCATTTACCTGTATGATTCTTTTGTTTGCAGATACTACGCAATCATCTACCCAACTGAACCGAAGTTCACCATCAAACGCACCATGTACGTGATTGCTGGCGTTTGGATCCTGGCTATTATTGTGGCAATACCACAGGTATAGCAACACACAGCAAATAATATTCAATTTTAACTTTAAACTTGCATATTAACCTCCTAGTTTCATTTTGCACATGATATGATTACACAGATATGCTTCTTTATCACATTGATGACTTCAAACTTTCTATGCCATTTCTATGGCAGTCTACTTTCTTAGACTATAAACTATATTCAGCATTTTCACACGTCCCTCCCACCAGGTCCTTCTAATCCAGGACGGCCGTTTCCCCCGCGAGGGAGACGTCATTTACCTCCACATTTGCGAGGAGCCGTATCCCTACTGGCGCAAGGCTTACACCACTGTACTGTTCGGCCTATGCTACATCTGCCCCCTCATGGTCATCATGTACCTGTACGCACGCATCGGCTACAGCGTGTGGATAAAGCCTACCCCGGGCGGCGACAAGGCAAGTAAGGAAGCCAAATCCCTGGCCATGAGCAAGAAGATGAGAGTCATCAAGATGTTGGTAACGGTAGTGATCCTGTTTACCATCTCCTGGCTGCCCATCCACGTCATCACCATGATTAACGACTACGCCACCCTGTCAGATGGCCGGCGGGACATCATCTATGTCTACATCTATCCCGTCGCCCATTGGCTGATCTACTTCAACAGCTCGGTCAACCCGATCATCTACGGGTACTTCAACCAGAATTTCCGGGTAGCCTTCAAGACCCTGCTGCTGACTCGGCGAGGAGTTGGTGCTCTGCAAGCAGACATGAGCAACGCCAACGGAGCCCATACCGCCCGGCATTCCAGAAGCCCCAACCCCCGTTCGGCATCACGAAGCCCACGCCCAGTAGCCTCTCCGATGCCGCGGAGTCCAATGGTCGACACTCAGATCAAAAGTCTTCCCGATGTTAACTAAACCATTGCTGATTTGAGTAACAACACAATCATATTTGATGGTTACATAGACATGTATGATGGTTTTATAACCAAGTATGACGGTTACACAACCATGATGGTTTTCATAAAGTGTTTGACAGTTGCGTATGCACCTGTTTTGCCCTCCTTATAAACAAATAGACTGTGAGATCACATGCGACATGGACCATGTATGAGCACATTAAACACTTTTCTATTATACCATCCAATACCTAATGGTTAAATCATAAGAATCATAGAAAACCTGAACATGTCATTAAACATTTTGGAAAATTTTTGAACAAGCAACAGCTAATAGCAGGACATTATAATCTAGCAGACATGACTGGGAAAACAAAAAAGTTACAAAAACTTAGAAGTGTCACATGGTATAATTGATGATACGATAATTATGTTTTTTTAAATCATGTAAGATACGTTTTTTGCCAGGTTCCAGAAAATATGATCCAAGACAATTCAAAGCCCTAAATAATACTTTTAGACACCAAAGAAGACCTAATACATGTAGATACAAATTTTTCTTTTGGGAATAATGCCATATGAACTACGATTGCTGAGAAACATACATATTACAGAGGGTAAGGAATATTGAATCATATAATGACGAAAAAATCATACTCTAAATTGTGTAAATAGCTAACTAAGCCCCCAATGAATGGGTGTATACATCTTCTGTTAATGCTTTCTTCGACATTTGTAACATATTGTACAAAGTAATAAGTCATTCAAGGAGTAGGTTATATAATTTAGGTGGATAACCAAGTGATAAATGGCCAAATAGAACTATAATGACCAATGGGGAAATAGATGTTTCCTTATACTTTTACTATTGGTCAAAACTAGTATATAAATGATAGCCAGTAATGTATGTAGTTTTGGATTAGTTTACGTACGTATACCTCGTAGGTAGATTATGTCTATGAGAAATTACTACATCTAACTTATATATACATAAAGATAATACCTCTACATTGAGAACACTTGGGCAGCAAGACCGCAGATACACCAATGTTTCGTGTCATATAAATAAACTATCATATGCAGATGAATATTATGATAGCTACGTATGATTACAAAATGGTAATGTACAAAATGTAAGATAGATGTGCCTTCAAAACTTGAGCATGAAGTAGTTTGTGTCATCTATTGTAAAGAACAATTATATGTAAAACCGAACTGAACATGATCAAGAACAAGTAGATTATGTAGGACAGACCTCCAGTACATATGACTGTGTACTGACTGGCAGATGCACAGTATTAATGCTGTGTCGAAATCGCTCTCTGAATGTTAGATATCTAAGGTATTATATATTCTCAACATTGTTGAGCACTAGAACTTTTAAAATAATAGTTTGTGAGTGCAAAGTTAAAGACAGTCATGCGCGTAACTCGTCGTGCCAATGTCTCCTTTCACATTACATTAATGTCGCAAAAATGTGCCAGTTGTGTTATGCAATATATCAGTATATCACAATCAAGATTACAAAATGTGTCATGGATGTATATAAGTATGTATAGATTCTTGAAGGCAGATATCTTAATGTATGCTTGTAAAAAGTCAAGCAGGTGCAAGAAATTGTGGTGCTTCTTGATTTGATCAAAGAACTAATATTAGTTTCTGTCAGTATAAATTGATCCATAAAAGATCCATCTCAAAAGCCGCACTTAATCTTGATCACCACATTTATTCCTCGCCTGTTCTGACCATATGCTCGATTGTCTATCATTATCTCAACTAGTCTTTATCTCTATTATTTTTGAGCATTGCATCGACGCCGTGACACTAAGACATGTCCGATACGTTTCGCTTCATTGTTTTTGCTCTGTGTATTGAGTACGTGTGCACAATAAAGTAATCGTCGAAACTCTACTGCTATCGTCATGTCTACAACCAATATTGCCTCCTCTTTATCGGATAGAAAGGATTGTTCATTGCGCGACGTGACAGAAGGCACAAACCTGCAATTACCAGGCACACCGGTATTGTGAACCCCAAATCTTCTCGACTTACTTTAGTAGTTCGAGTCGAGGAATACCCCGCAATAACACTTCGCAATGGCCCTTCGCAACTCGTTGGTACCATGCAGGTCAGTGTCACTTCGCAGATTGTCTTTAGTAGTAGAGTAGTTGAGAAGTAGCCTAGGTCTCCCCTACCTCTTTTTCCATTAGCAGTAGCCTACCAGAGAACCAGATGGAATGCAGGAATGTCAGAATGTCTAACGCGGTGACCAGCTAGTTTCATTCTGCGCTGCAAAACTATATTTTCAAAATATGGAATTCGAAAATCTTAGCCTTTCTTCAAAAGTCACGGGCTGAATTCTTTTGCTAAAAATAACTAAACCATCGCTCGATTATTTCAATCGCTCACCTTTACCATGCTTGATGCAACCTTGAAGTTCGATAGCCCAGGAAGAAAAGCGGTGAATCAGATCCCGATAGGATGTTCATAGGTACTTATCACTGTCATGCTGGATTAGGAAGTACATAAAAGTCTTCAATCGATAGGTGATGATGGAAAGTGGGATTAGGGGTATTTGACTTCTCTAGAAATGCTTCTCACGATTTACAGCACACAAAGTATGGGGGTAATAAACAACCAGCTGTTTCAAACATCCCGCTGTGATATGTTTATTACCAGTGGGCAGTTGGATATCAGGTATTCTTGCAATACAAAACGGCAGTCTAGTATCTATTTCATGACATCAATATGTTCAATTATGGCAATAATGCTTCATTGTGGAAACGTTGCAGTGCAAAAATGCCTGTCAAACGCTGTTGTGCTTTAGTTACAGATTGGATTTTTACCGAAACTGTAATGTAAAACGTTACCACTACTTCATTCTATAGCTGCTGGAATTAGAAAGCAACAAGTACTTGCTCTTGTCGTAAACGTTAATGGGGCATAGACTACTGGTGAAAGTATGATACTGAAGCGCCCCCGCTGATGAGCATGCTCCCTGCAGTGCAGCAGAACATTAAACTGTGTGCAACGGCGTTTTGGTTAATCTACTTTACGGGCAAATCTAACTGGAGCTATCACATTGCCATGACTTTATCCTGTATCAATTTTTAATGACAATAAAGTTCCTAATGCCAAGGACTTGGGTGTATATGTAATCCCTTCACCATTCTAAAATAGCCGGTCAATTTACTCGGTTTGATTTGATTGAATTGTAAAGTGATCCTAGTGTAAAGCATAACATCATCAGGACGTTGTAATGCAATATGACTACTAATACAAAAAGACAAATAAAAAAGCAGTTATACAAAACCGAGCAGGATTTTCGATCTCACCAAATTTTCCACCAGCCCTCTGGTCTTCTTCATCAGAGGATCTGGTCGCTCAGTACACGTCACTTTCCAGAAGTGTGGCGTTAGCATCGGGTCAAAGGTCGATTTAAAGTCTATACCGCCCACCCCTGACCCCGTTGCAGTTTCAATGGTCATGATAATCAATTTTTCAACCTTGTACCTTTGACAAAAATTGTATAGGTCATTGTCAATGCCAACCTACTATGAACCCCGGAGGACTTTAATGGTTGTCTTGCATGCTCCCGGTGCACCCCATCAGTCTTTATTATCTAGTATCTTCTGGTTGTCAGCGATGTATTCATGGGGGATTCGATCTCCAGTGACCTTGCTGACACTACCAATGCAGCAGTTTTTCTCTGTTGTCAACAACCGCTCGATATTAAAAAAACCTTGAGTGCTCTTTCACGGCCAGAACTTCCAAGTATGCCGTGTTGATTTTTTATTCCATCTAAGTTCGACAATGTCAAGGTACATGTAAATTCAGCTGATAATTCGTGAGTATAATAAGTACGTGTAAATTTACATGATATCTATATGCCAGAAATAGGATGAACATCTTGTCACAAAACAAATCTGGAAAGAGTATTAGTCAAACAAGAATGCCCGGTGCATCCTATCAGCTATCATCTTCAATGTCCTCTATCTGAAAATTGTTGCCAGCTCTATGATCAACTTCGAGAGGACACGCTTGAAATGCTGCTTTATATTGAAGATAAATTGTGCTCCGGAGTTATTGACCTATTTTCCCGTTACTGTTGAAAGAATCTAAAATAAGCTTATTTTCAACGTTTTATGATTGACATCAATTGCAAATTACCAGATCTGCACATGGCAGTAAAGATGATTACTGTGCACTTCATGTAGTCAATGATTAATTTATCTTCACATCTTTTGATCCAGTCGTATCTTCTCTACTCACTCAGTATTCCTTTCAAGTCACGAACTGTACCTCTTGGCTAACTAAGGTCACTCACCCCCCGTTGGAAGGGTGTATTAAAGATAACCTTGTATGATATCGATCTAGGAAACTGCTAAGAATCGAAATGATTTTCACACAGTTCAATGCGCGTTTAAAGTGCTGCAAAAGTGCTTACACTGGTGTAATACCGTCCAATCCATCGTCTTGAAGATCTCATTTTGTTACGAGTCCGTCATGCTGATTGATTCTTCTTATATCTGGCTTTGAATCAGATAATAAAAGGCTCCTTATAAGATGGTATTTGCCGTATACACAAGGGCACACGAGAGATGCTATAGACTTGTTGAAACTTTTGACCAATTAATGACGGCGCGTCTTCATAAGATCACATGAATGGTCACTTGAATTCTGGGCAAGACTTCAGAGTTTGTGTTTTTTTGTGTTGGGTCTAAGTTTTTGCTCTGTACTATAATGATGTGGTATGAAGCAGTCACAGCATCACGTTCTCACTATACAGGTAATGTTACTCCCACACCCATTAAAGGCACACGCTGTTTAAAGTGCCAAAAATTGAACTTAGTGCATCATTTCGTTTTCGAATGCATCCGTAAGCCGAAATTCCCCACAATGTGCTTATTCTAAAGCTCTGGGGCTTAGTTTAATAGTCAACTTCGTCTTGAAATCAATGTCGCAACGACTGAAAGGGATTAACGGAGCCTGTACCTGTCGATAGTCTGAGATAAACCCCGCCATCGTGTGAGAAATTGCCGCACCTTCGTTAGTTGCTCAGCGGTGCGTGGGAAACCGCCTCCCGTATATCGAACTTGTCTTATCTGGTGATATCAACGGGAATGACCGTGAACGCCAAATGACTGTTAGGGGACGCGTGAACGATCAACCGGTTGGGGAAGTGAAAATGGCCCCGAAGACATCCATGATGCTTATCTATTACCTATATCTACCATTGATTCTCATGATCTTTCTCCGTGTACATCAGGACTTAAATCTTGTTTAAAGTTAAAACTTTAGTTCTATCACCTACAGCTTTCGACCAGTCACTCTGGTCTTCCTCAGTAGACTGACCCAGTGAGGCATGTCACGTGGTTTCTTAGAAGTGTGAAGTCAACACTAGGCCAAAGGTATCTGGTAGACGATGTCGGCCCCCGTCGCGGTTGAATGAAGGGTCATGGGCCCTAATGAAAAATCGTAATGTAATCTGACTTAAATCGTATTGCTGAAACCTCACTTGTTTTGTATCTCAAGTTTCCGCTACCAACGAAACCACTTAAAACTGTTCTATGCACACGGGACAGGCACTCAAGATATCTTAGCTATCTGATAGATATTACTGTTAGTCTCAGAGGGAATATCTGGTGTTATGGGATTAGCATCTGCCTGATGCTTCAATTTTCTCTCATCAGATTCAACTTTACAATTGACTCATCTTACGTTGGCGTCTCTCCAAGAAGTGGTGATTTATTATATTTATGATATCTTATTACTTCAGGTGAATACAATTACTAAGCCTTTAATATTCTGTTGGGAACGGTTATAACTGCTGATTGCCTTATGATATTCGATGCTGATTGCGTGAAGTTTGGGAACACGTATTAGACTGAAAAAAACATATGTCACTTTCACCTGGGCTTATTTCCTTGAATAACAATACACTCAAATGCAACAGAGAGCCCTGCAATGATGTCAAAATTCACGTTATTGTTCCAGCATTCAACTGACGGGAAAATTACAACTAGAAAACACAATTCAAGACAAATCAGATAATATTGATAGTTCTGGTAAATTTTAATACATCACGAAAACTATGTTACAGACTCAAAAACATAGCTCATGAACTTATAATAAAGGAAATATCATATTCGTTTAATACATATTTTGTCACATGAATAAAAATAATGAAATTTTTTGGTAATTATCAATTAATATTACCCATCATATTTATGAGAAATTATCACAGAGTGACAATGAAACAAGATTATGTCTAGAACTGACACATGTGCCATGTCAATACATATATACATATATCAACATTTTGTACATTTTTATTACAGGATATTTCGGTACGTATATTCCAGAGGTTGATTCGTGATTGGTACGTATATTCAAGTGAGTATATTTCAGTATGCTTATTCCAGAATATATGTGCAACCTTAAGAAGGTTATTATAGTTACATCATGGTAATCGTCATTTTATTGAGTGAATATCTATTGTTGCCCTAATCGACTCTCATTCCGAATTTACCTTATCATAAATATTAACTTTGCGATCAGGTATGGTGGTTTTGTATCTATACTTTCTCGACATACTTGATGACAGTTGTTTCACATGTTTCAGCTATCAGCTTGAGCATTACTTCTATAAAGAAAAAATATGCATCTATAAAGTACCATATATTTACACATCAACAAGGAGGGAACCGTTCTGTTACATGTATCCTATTGATTTGGTTTTCTTGACTCGGAATAAATCTTACTTAGCAAAGAATTACAAACTTACGCATTTAAATCAATGACAGTTTTATCCATACCAATCTCCTAATATGTAAGGATCGTTACGTTGTTTACAGTTAACTTTACATTTCTACAGTGTTGTTTAATTGAAGAAGCTACATTATAACGTGGCCTCCTGGGTGATCTGAGACATTCAGTCTAGCCATACGTACAGCTGTAAACTTAAGAGTTCCATACAGGTTGCACATATTCACATACATTGCCACTAACGGTAACAGATAAAAGCAAAGACAGTCCTGAACGCCCCAAGCAGGCGTCAGAGTTCTAAGACAGGTAAGTCAGACGGCTGCCGGTGGGACTTCATTGCCAGCTTTCACCGCTGATTTCAGAGGCCTTTTGCGAGTTGAACGCCTGATAACTGTTCCCTGACTCACCATTCTACTCTGGAAAGCAGACACATTTAATCCCTTCATCATCATCAGAGTCCGGAAGGCTGCTCGAAAGTTCTGATTGAAAAAGCCGTAGATGATCGGGTTGATGGCGCTGTTGAAATAGATCAGCCAATGACATGCTGGATACACGTATATCCAGAGGATGTCTTGCTGATCGGGCAACAGTGATCCGTAATCGTTGATCATGGTGATGACATGGATCGGGAGCCACGACAGCGCGAAGAGCACCACGACCGTGAGCAGCATCTTAATAACCTTCAACTTCCTCTGCAGAGAAACGGCTTTGGCCTCCTCGGTTGCCTTGTCTCCTCCGGGCGTCGGTTTGAACCAGACGGCTAATCCTATCCGAGCGTACAGGTACATGATGACCGTTAGGGGGATGATGAAGCAGCAGATGAACAGAAGAGTGGTGTAGATCTTCCGCCAGAAGGCTGACGTTTCCTGGCACAGAGTCAAGATGACTTGGCCATTCTCCACCCAAGCGTTTTCTCGAATCAACAGCACCTGTAGGGTACATGTATTTAGTGCAATGTAGCATCAAAGCGAGCTATAAACTGTGACATTACGACATTTTAATTTTGAAGTTAGCTACAGCACTGATGTATTGCACATTTGTACTTTTTTAATGGATGGTTGATACGATAAAAGAATGTGCTATCATACGATATAGAATGCACATGCAAAATATCAAGTTACAAACAAGTCCTATAATAGGTCCCCCGAATATGCCACTGATAAAACTACGACGTTTATTTTCGGCGGTATTTTTATCATTGGAGAAAAGGATTAAAGAGTCCCAAGTTCTCCCTTGCCACCAGACGTAAAGTTAGCCCACTAGCCACTGCCAAATTCAAAATACTGCTAAGGGCTAACCGTGATTTCCCTCGATATCATCTAAATCCATACTTTCTTATTGGAGACATAAGGTAAAAATCACCATCATCGATTTCCGTTAAGGTATTTTGCGAATCGTCTGTGAAACATTGAATGGACTATGCAACAATCACGTTAACATTCAGCATTTACTGACTGGCATGCCTCTGCATTAGGCCACAGAAAGTAATTTTTATGGATGACATCAGCACGCGGATTTATTTTCTTCTGGTTTCAGAGAGAAAAAAGAAGAACTTTTGTCAACCTGCCAAATGGGCAACGATGCCTGTTGCCATGCAGGAACGTGGATGGCAGCTGAATATGAAGTGAGGAAACAACACAAAGCTCTGATTTATTGTTTTTCTTTTACTTTGATGCAGTGATGCATTTCCTTTTATATGTGATGTTTACTGAATCGAAACCATTTGTACACTGACTGAAAACTTTTCAGTGATAAATACATGTTGTTATAGATGTCAGTAACATAGCACGATATAGGTATCAGTTCTTATTAAACAAGGTGTATGATGCCAAAATTTGCAAATGTAGGAACCTTTATGTTTTTGGCCCGCCTTGTTTGTTTTTGGCCCTGTCGCATTAGATTTGGAGTCTGCGAAGGTGTGTCATCCATAAAATTTACTTCCTGTGGCCTTAGCATTCAGCACTTACTGACTAGAACGTTTCTGCCATAAGTTTAATTCCTGTGCTCCTTGAATAGAATCACAAAGAGTGATGATTGAAGAGGAATGTATTGATCCAGAGCCAGTGGCAGAGCACAGAAAAATGCATCTCTACCTGTGGGATCATGAGCAGGATAGACAGCATCCAGACTCCAGCGGTGACGTACAGTGTAACTTTGCCTGTGAACGTGTGCGTTGTTGGGTACACAATGGCATAATACCTGCAAAAGATAATAAAGTAACTCTTGAAATCATGAAAGTTGCATCCCTAAATTTTAAAAAATAACAATTTATAAAGGCGAATGGGAGAATGTTTTGGTGTGGCTACAGTTCAATTTTTTTCCAAAACGTTACGTTGTATTATCTTTTAGATCTGTATCAACTGCACATAATAAGTCATAAACTTCTTTACTCAGCCCATACCGATTCAGTCCCCATTTGACCAAGGCGGTCATTCTCGATAGTTTGTAAAAGAAGGTCAGAGATCAAATCTATTGGATCTGTAAAATGCATAGAACTAACGTCAAATGGTATCTTTATGGTATCTCTATCACACCCACTGCTTGGAAAATAATTCCTTAGCCTCAACAGCCGTTTCATGACAATATAAAACAGAGTCACTATAAAGGTTTTATCGTGATTGAGTTTTAGCATGACAAAGTGCGAGCTATATGATTTTGACCGCTTTTAACTTAATCATTTCCTCAAGTGATACATTTTATAGCACTATACATTTTTATATCCATCATAAAAGAATTGCTGTAGTAACTTAATCCTTTTGGGGAGTGGTTAAGAGCTTTATGTGAGTTGCCCGTCAGGAAATGCACTTTAAGGCAGCCATTACCAACCAAACACAATTTGGGCAAGTAGCGCGATAAATTGATGCCTTTTCAAGTTAGATGGAGTTTTAGTCTCCTGACTACATCCCTTTTTGATCATCAATGGTGTGTGTAATTTCATCATGCATTTGAGACTATTGAATGAATCCTCATTTTGTTTTCAAGATGATGATTGAAACGGGTTTGAATATGTTATTAACTCGATGAAAATCACATACGTCAAGACTAAAATGTAGTATTATCCCTTGATGGTACGGTTGATGGTTGATGGTTTTGCAGGAGATTAAATGACGCTCAGCCTATCAGAACAACAAGAGCAACCAAACTTCCTAGTAGAATGCACACGTATTGGGATCAGGCATCAGGCAGAAAATATTCGGGCCCTCTACTAAAGATACAAAGCGTCATCGACATATTCACGGAATTGTCATCAGAGAGACAAATATGCCCTTCACTCCTTGTGTACATTATACTACATAATACACATAGATACATATAGGTGACCGAACTTCAATCACAGACGTTCTCATATTGTAGCTGGCATAATATTTGTCACTTTGTTCAAAACTATACTTTGTGGCTCTTTGAAGCTCTTGGGTTACGATATCTTCAAGGTAACGGAAGACAAGGTAGGTGAAATGCAATAAATATGACAATGACAGGGTCTCACCTGTCTACTGCGATTGCCACAAGCGTGAAGACTGAGGCCAGGACAGACACGACCTGCACCGCCGCCGTCAGCTTACACATCACGTTGCCGAAGGGCCATCCTATCGTGTGGGCACAACTCATATGTTATTTTTAAAGCATTAGATGAAATTAATAGATCATTCTCTTGAAGTTGAATTGAACTGTAGTTTCTAACACAATAACAAAAAATGAGCTTTAGATCTTTGCCACTGAATGGCCAATGCATCGTTGATATTATGGGGATAGGACACGTGATTTTGTGAGCTGTGTTGAAGAAAGTCTATGGCGGTCCCCGTCTGGACTAGTTAGTATCATCTTTTTGTCTTTTGATGGAAAATACATTTCAACGTTGCTTTATGATTATTATTTTCTACTACCAGCATCGATGAACTTTCAATCTATTTTCTTATATATTTTGTTCTTCTAAGGAATAATGAAGCAGATCTTATCATATGAAATTGTAAGGAAATGTCCGACGGAACAGCACACAAGATAAAGCAGTGTGATAAAGATAACGACACCCACCGATTATGATGTTGTCCACGAGTGTAAACGGCATGCAGAAGATGGCTACCAGGATGTCGCTCGCCGCCAGGTTCAGGATGAAGTAATTTGTCACTGTTCGCATCCGAGGAATCTTCGCCACAACAAAGCAAACCAAACTGTTGCCTACCACGCACAACAGGAAGACTACGAAGTATGATATGACCAAAATGACGATGACTGGAACACTCTGTTTTAGAATGGTGCCTGGTATTTCAAAATTGTTGGTCACATTTCCTGCAGATGTTGTATTGTTTTCCGACGTGGCCATCATTAACGTTTTTCAACGATGAAGTGATCCAAGTTAAGAATGGGATCCTATCGATTCGGGGCTTTTAAGAGCTTTCCATAAACAAAGCACCAATAGGGATATTGTAATGTGTGTCTGGATTGAATTCTCTGGGGGGTTGTGATTTTGCCTACCTTGATATTCAACGTGACGAAATATGCAAAATGTGATGGAGGCTTTTGAATATTCTTTTCATTGATTTTCTTACATCAAAGGACGAGCCTTGCTTTTAAAAGCAAATAGTCTCTTAGAAGTGGTCACGACTCATCTTTCAAAGCCAATATCCAGCTGCCAGAATATTTGTAATTCTAGTGGCTTTTAAACTAAACAGCAGTATTACTCCTGACTTTCACCACTTACCATAAACACGAAGTGTACTCTATCAATCCACTACTTAGGGTTTTGAGGCTCTTTGCAGGTGTTTGACGTAGATAACATAACTTAGAAAGCTGAAGTACATGAATGACTTTGCCCAAGAAGAGCTATGGGACCTGAATTATTTTGTATCTTTCACTATGATGATTGATCATGCAGTTTCTATTAGAACTGCTCCAGGCATTGGTGTAAGGAAAATTTATGAGTTTCTTCCTGTCCGTGCAACTTGTAGCTGCTTGGTGAACGTGAACACGTCGGCAGGAGTTTCTGTAATGGTTTCCGCAAGAGAGAACACACAATCCCAAACGGCTTGTGAAGCTAATGGCACCCGGCTATATGACCTGCACAGGGCAGAAAATACAATGGTTTACATTGCGATTCATTGGTAACATGTTATGCAGAAAAACAGTTGTTAGTTTTCTTAGCTCTGTAAATAGCTTCAACAATTTGGAGAATCATAGGAATATAGTACGAGTGCTCTTATAACACAAAGTCAAAGACCTTTATCTAGTGATCCTTTTGATACCATCTTATCTACCTTCATCATGTCTTAAATGGACTGCCAGTAGTAGCACAGGTAAGGCGGTCATCGATACGTCAGACATGTGAGGTTTTCGAGGTTTTGTTCAATAACAATGACAGAGAATAAGGTTCTAATTACTATTAGACTTCTTCCGTTGCATTGCTCTATTATATACAACGTGACAACAGATCGTACAAATGGAAATTCTCACCAAACCAGATCTTGGAGCTCTTGCACGTACGGAAGGATTCAGTTCAAAGCTCAATCAGTGAGGACGCATCAACTCTCTCCGCCAAATCTGCATGACAATAACAAGGATTGTTTTCCCAATGAAAGCAAACAGATGTATTTTCATTTCTTTACCATGGGGAGAGAAGATACAATAATGTTTAGCCAAACGCTTTCTTATTTACCAACTTACTTTTTGCCATAGGCTTTGATGATGTATCACAATGGGGTTTGGGCAGTCGATATTTTATACCACGTTCCACAGTAAACAACACACAGGTCAAACTTAAAGCAGCAAAATGGCAAACTCAAATTTCTGCAAATGGATTAAAGATTCGGGCTGTTACCTGACATAATCCTACTGTAATTGAAAACTGGTAGTAAAAACTGGCTTAATAGCTGTAGTAAAACTTAAATTCTTGACCCTTGAACGAAAAAAGCTCTTATTCCAGGGAACATGTGGGATTTTACAACCGTTCCCTTGTAAATCGTTCTTTGGAGTTATGGAACTCAACTGCTCTCGTTACTTACATCAACACTGTCACTGGCTGACTGATGATATCCACTTATCAGAAATATGTTGACTCGAGATACGTGCTTTCAATCTATATTCAACTTTATCGATCACTATTCTCTCTATTTACAAAGGTTTACACTGTCCATACATTCATTAGTAAAGTTTGTCACATGCATGATGTCTAAAATTATCAAGTAATTATGATAAAACTTTCCTGACTTTCTATATCCCATGCATCCTCATAACTGCGCTAGAAGTATAATTAATACACATAATGAACTAAAGATGAATTTCTATTTCTGATGTCTCCAGGCGCCACATTAATAACATTGCATATAGCAGTAGTCTGTTTATTTCAGTGCCACGCCCTTGTAAGATTAAAGACCAGATTTCCTATGATTTCAAAATGTGTCTGTGTCATCATCTGTGTTATCGCCTATCAGGGAAAATTTATTAAATGCTTCTTTCTTCAATATTTAGTATATATATTCCTTCATAAAGTATTTGTGAGAGCAAAGTTTCAACAAGAAACGGCCGATTGATGGCGCGTTTATGTCGATTATGTGGCAGGTTCACACCCATACGATGAATAAATGCGTCAATGAATCAATCAATTGATGAGGCAAAGAATGGGCGATTCCATACGTGGGCAACAAAGTAATGAGATGCTTTCCAAACGTATCCTTATTACCACCTTATTCTGATAAACTATTTCGTAATGACAACCTAACAGAGGCCTCTATGTACTGTTGTATGAAAATGTACCATGTAATGTTGTTTGTAATTGTCACAGTCAATTCAAAGTTATGCTTTTCAAAAAAAGCTTTTCCCACTTACTGTGCATGACTAATTATAATGGTATGACTAATTATAGAGTATCTAACAAGCCAGAGTCAAATGATATCCCTTGCTGGTGATCATCATCAAAGTGCAATCGTACCCGGGGATTTCCAGGCGTTCTGTATCAATTCACGTGAGATTCTTAACCGAATGAAGAATAGTATTAGTGCCTGGCACACTGGAACAAGCCACCTTGCATGTATGATGTGTTATTATCATTTTTTCAATTCACGTATAACATTCATTAGGGACAGTGCATGACAGCCTTGACATTAATTACCAGATTTATTAAAAAGTAATGCATACTTGATTACAACCTTGGACCATGACGAACATCGTGTTGCATGGCAATTAACCGCGTTTGGTGGAATCTCCTTACTTATTACGCCCCCATGGTGAACCCTTATCAACAAAGAAGGCATTATGGGCAAGGAATTACAATGTATATCAAATATTTTACGACATGTCATGGCATAGTAATGAGACATGCCATTACATGCATCATTCAATCATTCAATGCAGTTTCTAAAGGCTAGGAAACCAGATTTTTCGAAGTCAACGCTCTAGTCACTTATCTACATACGAGTTTAAACAGCACTATCCCAGTGTATATCGACATTCGTGGAGCAAAAATGCCCAAAATTCTTACCATAATCGGTTACTGGAAGGACTCTGGGCTGATTTTTAAGGTAGCGCAGTTTTAAAAGCCCAAAGTATGAAATATTGATTCAAATGTGCTAATGTGAAACAGTATGTGTCAATATCATACAGACTGCCTTATTTAGAATATTTCCAGTTTTGTCGCTCTTTAATTGCATCGGACGCCTTTAAAAGTTAGTCTGCATTTTTTTATTGGAGCCCTGTTTGCTCATATGGCAAGTGCAAGTAAAACATTTAAACTGTTCTGACGCCACAGACGCTAAGTACATGGCGACTTTCATTCCGGTAACCAGGGATCAGGGTACTGCATGAAGATTTATCCTGACCCACTTCTGGCTACTTGAGAACGCTGAACTTCACAACAATAATGCCACACATGGCTACTTCCATGCTGGGCTTCAAACAATTCTATTTTACAGATTATTACAGGATAGAGAAATATGCTGTTTGTTTATGATGTTAGCAAGCGGAATCTAAAACGTTACAATTGTTCAAACACCTGACGCCAGACGCTACATACGTGCAGAACCACTCTCGTACTTACTGGTAATCAGGCATTAGGAGATTAAACATGCTTGATAATGGAGCTTTACTTGCCGCACCTAATTACATTTGGAAGGATATGAATGCCATATGTTCTAAAAATACGTTTGAGACAACCGTTATCACGTGTAAAAGTAGTTATCACGGGTTTCGACTGAAATTGTTTTTTTTTTATAAAAAAATGAGATAGATAGCTGAAGCTCCATGATGTTGAAATCCACTTATACACGGACTCGTGCAATAATTCAGAATTGTGGAGCGTGTCGCCATTGACGAACTGTTCACTATTCCTGGTGATGACTGCGGGTCAATAATTGACTTTTATAGGTCAAGGACATCATCAACACACGCCTGCCCGATAAAACATCTCATAATGGAAAGCGTATGTTAGAGTTCAGAACCTTTGATCCCATTCCCAGCACTGAAAGAACCTTTCCGAGCTCCGCCTATACAAATACCTGATAATTTAGAGTCCTTAAGCAAAGATGAGAGATTGTAAATTCAACTGCCTTTGGCACATCAGGGGCTTCCTGATGATGATGATGATAGATGAGGTAGGCAGGTATTGATCGACAAAAACTTTGCAAGTCCACTTCCAAAGGTCGGATGCTCTGGTAGGTCTATCTATCATATGGGAAAGCGAAGATTGATATGCCTTCCTTTGCATGGGATTAAAAAAGTGACAAGCAGCACATTCAGGTATCCAAAATATAATTGAAGGCGATCGTAATTCTCAGGTAGGATCGATGTATGTAGTCGATAAGCGGCAATGCCTCGCTGTTACTGTCCATGCATCTGACTTTAAGTGATAGATGAGTATGCCAACCTAAGTTCGCGTGCATTTAGATAGGCTGATTGAATAAAATATCATGAATATCAACAGTCCATACCTGGCATTCCTAGCCAGAAGGGCCGAAAAGTACTACTAGTCTTACCCAGATTAAATTATATTCTTTGATTCTAAGTTGGTTTGATATAAGTAGCCAGATTACGTTTGATTCTGTTGATATTTATTCTTCCAAGCAACCAAGAATTCACATGCAAATAAATGTTATGATTACATACATGTAGACATTAGCTGATATAGATAAAACAAACCATTAAACCGTTTCGCAAACTTTGGCACACATAATTGAATTAGGCATAATGATGTTTGCGAGACGGTGCGTCTCGTCTTGGCAAGCAACGGAAGCACGAGGTACGTGTAATAGCAAAGGTGACGTTATCCTTCCGTAAAATAAGAAAAAAGTCAGATGTCAGAGGAGACTTGACCTGACCATTACACTGTCGCCATAT